ACAAAACCCACAAGACCCCCAGCGCGTCTTTTGTGGGGGGGGAAATTGGGGGGGTAGAAGTCCCCTCATTAGAAGGTTGCCAACGTTGAGAAACACTGCTTTAAGGAATCTCCTCATTAAAGACAACACTCAAAGCAGATGTCTCAGAAACCAGCAGATCCTTTAACTGAGCAAGAAAGTGCCAGGCTCACACCTGTGCAAGGTCCAAAGCCCTTTTTCTTAATTATTTCTGAACGCTGCCTGGCTTGTTATCTACCCTATAACTATACAGTTAGGTCCTCAGGTAGGAAATGTGGTATCCAGACCTGTGGTTTGGCTCCCTTACCTTCCAAGGGAATGGAACCAAGAATTTCCTCTCGTACCTGGGCTTTATGAGAGAGTTGACTTTCCTACCTACATGGTTTGAGAAGTTCCTCAGTTTAACTCAACTTTTTTTTTTAACTGACAGGACAGAAACTGTTGGACACCTTAGCTGAAACCTGGGATTTCTTCTTCAGCGACGTCCTGCCCATGCTACAGGCCATATTCTATCCCGTGCAGGTAAAATATAATTTTGCTGCTTTGGAATCCAGATAAACCAGAATCCAGATAAATCGGAATCCAGATAAACCAGGCGGTTGATGAAGAGCGCTGCAGGCCATTCGCTGGACAGCCTAGCAAAACGCAATGCAGGAAAAGCATTTAAAATAAAAATGTTCCTCTCTGCTATCCTATTCAGGTTATTCCTCCATTCCTCCCTAGGGCTGAACAGCATTTCAGATAAGAAGGCAAAAAGGCCTTTGGAGCACATCAGAGTGCAAACACAGCCTCTGAAGTTGCCATCTTCTTAAACTGCCCCACTTTCCCTAGGATCTTGCAGCTGCCCTTTGCAGCTCCTGTGTAATTCTAGACAGGGCCCATCTCACATGAGTTAAAAAGAATCAAACTTAGTTTTTAAAAAATGAAAAGAGGAAAGGTAAACATTCCTTTTTAATTTGAAGTAGTCCCGTGCACAACAGTCTGTGGTCAAAGGATTAAAATATCGGGCTGCTCAAATCACAGCGTTATAAAAGAACTTCCAGTAGAAAATGGGACAGGAAAAGGAAACGCTCCAAATAGATCCCAGGATGATGCTAGACTGCTCTTATTTAGAAGCAACTCTGTACAAGAGACGCTAATAGAAAAACAATAATCACCAGAGACTGAAGAGTTCAAAACACACACAGAAAAAGAAATTAAAATTACTGCAGTTCTTAGCTAACGTTTTCCTACTTCTCTAGAGAATAAACTATCCTTGGAGTAATGTGTATCCTCGAAGTAAATTCCGGTTTTCCCCCCAGTCTGAAGCTCTGTTTTTGCCTTTATTTCATGGAACCTTGCACTTTCATAACATTAACCTCCATTTCCACCCCGGCCTTCCATCGGAATTAATAATTGGAACTGCTGTTACAAGGTTCATAAAGGCAACCTTGAGTTGAGCCAGACTCGTGACTTCCTGGACATGTGTGTGTAGTTTTCTTGGCAATAGTACCTGTTTCCCAGTCTACCATTTTTCAACTTCCTGGTCTAGCATTCTGCAGTGCTGGGACTTCTCAGTGGTTTCCCATTCCACTCCTAACTCAGAAATACTTTCTGAAAAATGCTGTTTTGTTTAATGTGCTATGATGAAAGACAGTGTTTTTCAATCTCAGCTATTTTAAGCTGTATGGACTTCAGCTCCCAGAATTCCCCAGCCAACTCCATTCTGGGAGTTGAAGTCCACACAGCTTAAAGTTGCTGAGGTTCAGAGACACTGACATGAGATGTCCATCAGATTAAATGTTGTTGCTTTTGTTTAAGAAGTAGTTGCTTGGGCTCTTATATTACATTCAGCTTTTTGATTGCCCGCTTTGGAAGAATCTGATGTGTTGACCAAAAGGACAGCAGATAGAATAGTAAGAAATTCCCATAAGAGGGGATAACAGACCAATACGATTTATTACAAAGAATCAGCCCAGTTCAAATCTATAAAAATTGCAGCAGAAAACAGGGGCCTCACTGGAGAGTTTACCACGCCTGAATCCCACTATTTTTATTCGGAGTCAATGTCCATGGAACAGCCTCTGGGTCAATCAGTGGCAACCGGGGAATGGGCTTTTTGAGTTTCAAATGGAAGAGTCTGCAAATAATTGGGAATGTCTGTCTGTTTCCTTCAGGGGAAGGAACCCCCTGTCCGCCAGCTGGCCCTGTTGCACTTCAGAAATATTATAACTCTCAATATAAAGCTGGAAGACGCATTGTCCCGTTCCCGCGCAAGAGTTCCTCCTTCAATCGTTCAAATGTTACTCATCCTACAGGTATGGATTTTTGGAGGATGCTTGCTGAAGTTGTAGGTTGGGCAGGGGGGCCGGAAAGTCAAGATGGCACCCCCACACTCAAAGCCCTGCCCCTCTTCTACATGCACTGCGCGTGCAAGGGTTGTGGGAAAGGAACGGGGCTTCAATCCTGTGGTCACAGCCACCATCTTGACTTTTTTTAACCTCCTTCATGGAGGTCCAATCAGTAGAATATTTTATAAGATGTCAAATCGGAGGTAGCATCTCTTTTCTAATCCTTTTCTTGATTCAGGAACGTCAACCCAGTTTTACTCCCCTTCTCCTGGATTTAGGTATTAGACTATGTAGTATAGTGGAGAAGGTGCTGGGCTAGGAGCAGGGAGACCCTGGTTCCAGGACCCCCCCCTCAGCCATGGAGGCTCCCCGGGGGGACTTTGGGCCAGCCCCTCTCCCCGAGGGTAATAGTTGTTGAGAAAATCAGGGAGGAAGCCCTATGAATGCCGCTTCCAGCTCCGGAGTAGAAGATGGAAATATAAAATCAGCACATAAGTCCATCAAAATGGCCTTGCTTTCCAAACCACAGTTCTTGCACAGAGCCGTTCCACTTGGTCTGGGTCATCTTAAATAGAAGATCTGATCAGAGTCATGCTTTTCAGTCCTCCTGCTCTTGGGAAACAGTCTGCCCATTAAGGCTGACCCTAAGGAATGGCGTGGCTGGGGTGGAGGACTTTCTGAGTCACTGGCTAGGGTTTGCTCGTGCATTCAGATTGCAAGGCACCAGCCTGGCTGTGGAAGCTTTTCAATTATCTTCTAGGAACTGGGTGAGGCCTCCAAAGATCATGCAGCATTTTAGACGGCATGATGTAAGGTGCTTCTACGGCTGTTGAACATTGCTGGGAAGACACAGAGAGAGAGAGTATAAATAAATAAATGTGTGGTATTTATTATCTTCATGGCATTTTAGAATTGATGTCATGTTTTATAGCCTCCAGAAGTCCCCAGAACGTTTTACAGAAATCTTCCCGGTGAAACGAAACTACATGTTCCCATGTAATGAATGAAAACTGTGCAGCCACTGAGTGGAGAAACAACCAGACTGCTTATTACTTGGAAAAACTTGTCTAAAATATTTGCCATAAAAGAGTGAAGTATCTGGAGGGTTTTTTTTATTTTTACAGGGTGTCTTCTAACTCACTGCTTGGTTTGTTTAAAGCAGTGTTTCTCAACCTCAGCCCCTTTAAGATGTGTGGACTTCAACTTCCAGAATTCCCCAGCCAGCTTTGCTGGCTG